TATAACTCACATCTACTAACATAAGGTGGTGTAGCAATAGGATCACCAATATACTCTATCATGGCAGATAACTTTATGAACAGCTGGAAATATGTTGTTCATTAAAACAAAATGGCAGTCCTAAAATAACACTATATCATCATCACCATCACGCAACCACAAAGAGAACCATTAAAATTAGAAATTAAACAGCAAGAAAGACAAAGAATAAGGATTAAGTCAACATATGGTGATGATATGCAAACGTCAGAACAATGATATACGGTCTAGAGTGGAAAACGGATAATAATTACAAAGTTTTAAAGTAATGGTTCTGTAGGGATTTTGTTTGATTGCATGGAGGATTTCATCATGAGCTGATATCAATTAGAGAATCATTGGAAAACCTGGGAGTACTGGACGGCTGTTTCGTCCCACTAGTTTGGGACCTCTCGGCACGTCTAAGATGAAAGCAATTACTCATCGAAGAGGACATTCCGAAATGGTCGTGCTATATCGTGAATTGGCAGAAGTTGGAATTCATGGACTGGCCTTCAAATCGGGTGCCAATGGCTTAATGGTCTACTAGCTAGCTCACCTTGTAACCAGAAGGTCCTGGGTTCGACCCCTAGTGCTGGATGCGTACTTCTGAAGAGTTTCAAACCAGGACGAAACAGGTGTCCAGTACTCCTAGCTGTTCTTCTCAGTTTGTGTTGCCTCATCAGTATGTTCCTATCATGTCACTAGGCATTGAACCAAGGACCATCAAGTTAGGTGGCGAGCTCGTCAACCGAATCACACACCTGGATGGAATCCAATAGCCCATGAATTCTAGCTTCTATGATTTTGTGAGTTTTAGCGCCACCTCCAGCAAATGTCATTGCCAAGTATTTGTCCTCATTACCACAATGGTTTCTTTCACAAAACACATCAAGATCACAAATAAAGTCTGTTTTTATTTTATTTTTTTGTTTAGATTGCTCTAATAGAACTCTCCACCGTTTACCTAACACATGGAAAAACAATTATCTGTACAGAAAATAAAAGTAGCCCCGATTAAAAAGTATACAGTCTAACCAGTAGTCTATTTACAAATTGCACTGATGCATTGAAACTATTAGTTGAAAGGATAATGTAGTTTACCTTGTTCTATGGATGTGTTTGTGTCTACGTTTGTTTGTCTATATATCTATGTTTCTGTCTGTCCGTCTATCTACAAGTACGTCTACCCCTCCCCCCGCCCACCACCACTGCACTATAACGGAAATGAAGATAATCTGTGTGTGTGTGTGTTGATTGTATTTGTACAGGAATTTATTCGTTCTAAATCAGGTCAAGGTGATTGACTGAATTCATCACTTTATTTTGGTTATTCGATTAAAAATTTTCGAAATGTCCATATTTACAAAAAGTTGTAATTTTATAGTTGTGGTAGGTTCATATTGATGATGTACAACTAAACAACAATCAATAAAACTTCTGAATTTAAAGTAGTCTTCTTCAATAATGAATTGACGTCAATGAGAGAATCATGTTGTGAACCCTGAGGAATCCATGTACACATAGAGTCTGTGAGCATGCTTAACTCAAAGATTTTAGATTTCACAGGCGTAGAGAAAAACTGCAAGCATCCAAGAGTTGTAGAACCCACTTTTGATATCTATGGTAACGCAGGTTGGTGTAGGCTGTTACACTTCTGAAGGCACTTATATAACCACTTAGATACCGCAACTTTTCCATTCATCCTTCAAGCAATTTCCATGGCACAGAGTATTTGTCACATCTGCGGGTACTGATTACCGACTGATTAAGGTAGATTTGAGAAGCCAAATGAACTGTCGTCAAGATTTGACAGAATAGTTCTAAAATATTTTGGCGCCGAGTGAGAAGTAGACATTTGTAAAAAATTTATATTTGTAAAATCTCAGCGAGATTGAAATGAGTAATTCCAACGTTTCGTTCGGCAATCTGGTCCGAACTTCTTCAGGGACATTAATCGAAATTAACATAACAGAGGTTTATATATATGAAAGGAACATTTCTTGTTTTTAAAAACTTTGTCCAATCATGAGCCATGAAACAAGTATCAACAAGTAAAATAAACGAAATTGTACGAGTTGTGATCAAAATTTGACCCCGGACTTACAAATATTGGTCTACCTTTGTTAAACACTTTAAACAGAGGGTGTATGTGTGTATGGGTGAACAGTTGTAAAACATTTCTTAACGTCTCCATAAGAAGATATAGACAGTCGGGAAGCTTTGACCAAGTATTATTAGTTAGTGATACATATCCATTCTTATTTATTAATCAGGATTTCCTATGCGTCAGCTAACATCACACCTTCATGTCTGTTCAAACTGTTAGTATCTAGAATCTTATGATTAGACGTATTTTCAAAATTATGGTGTTTAGGATTAGAGTTTAGTTGAAGCACCCTGTCAAACTTATGACTTTGTCTTCTTTCTGAAAATTGAGCTGATTTATTCGACTTACTGGAGTTGTCAGGTGACTCGACAGCTACGGATTTAGGATACACATTCTGTTGCAGACAACGGAGAGTGGGAACACGATGATTGTGCCAATTACATAGTTTCTTTGTTAATTTTCAAAACCAGAGATGTTCCTTATATTTTACCTTTGTTATGTTAATTTCGATTAATGTCCCTGAAGAAGTTCGGACCAGATTGCCGAACGAAACTTTGGAATTACTCATTTCAATCTTGCTAAGATTTTACAAATACAGTTTTTAAAAAAAGACAATATCCTTTACATGTTCTCATAGTTTAATAGTCTTTCGCCAGGTGATATATCTATGGCGACACTACACATAGTAATCTGGTGGCGAATTGAGCAAGTTACCATTCATCTACAGGATTAGAGTCCGACGGTCTACACTTTCCAACCTCTGTCAGCTCACTACATCTGATGACAACCATGTAACATGTGCTTTGTAATCGCCTATCTTTGTAATATTAGAAAGAAGAGAACACGAAGTTCAGCAAAGATATCTGTCTGTTCGGTGATTTCATTTTCAAAAGCAGCTGTACAATCGCATTTAAATACATAATTTTACATAGATGCAATTTTTTGCTTGATTCCACACGATTGGGATGGCGAATAAAAGGTGACAATTATTTTCAACTAGATATGGTTTACGAGAGGCCTAGAAACAATATTACACAGGATTAGAACAGATGACAAGTGTGTATAAAAAATGAGCATGGAAACAAAATTGAAATAATAATTTTCAACTTGAGATAGGAGTTAGGTGTTAATATAGATTACAAGAGCTTTAGAAACACAAAAATTGCACAGGATTAAGATATAATTGTAACATAGTTATTTTAAACGAATTATAAATATGAACAGGAACAGCATGGTAACAAACTTAAAATAACTGTTTTTATAACTGAAAAAATGGGGTGAATCGAATGAAGACAGAGGGAGTAAGGAATCACACGCACAGAGAACGAAAAACGATCAAAAAGAAAAAAGAGAACGAAAGAAGAAAATACAAAAACGGAAGCTAAGGGAACATACCGAACTAGGTCCATGGTAGTTGGTTGTAGAGGTTGGTCTAATTTCTTTTGAACACACAGCTCCGGCTTTTCGATGCATATTGCGAGGGCTTCAACAGTACCTAGAAGTCGGAAACATACTGCTTTTGGTAATTTTCTGTTGTCTTTGTAAATTGCTTTGAAAGAATCATTTGAGATGTTGTCGAGGTGTTGATCAGATGTTCAATAATAGGCTCAGTTAACTTCAGTGACCGCTATGACTTTTGGTGGTTAGTAGAATTACTGGCTTCTGGCTCGACCTCCAGATCATGTCCAGTGTTTAATAGTTTTAAACTGAGAAGTAAAAGCCACTCAATGATTCTTTGATCTTGGCAATCCTTAAGTTTGTGATAACTCGTAAAGAAAATATATTTTGAAAATGACCATTGTAAACCAATATAAAATAGGTCTAACAATAACATTTTCATGCTGTTGCCATTACGAAAAGAGAGATTTCATTCAGTCACTTTTGGCATACTTTATTCCTGATTCCTTTTGTTCCGAATAGAACATAGTGCTTCAACAGCACATCTCAATTTCACTGTGACAGCTGTTGTCATCTTAAGTGGGCTCTAAACTACCCATATCCTTTTATTTCCTTCCCATACGACTTTCTATATATCATCCTTGGACACCTAACTCGTCACTTTCCACTTGAGTTCCATTTGAGGATATCGCCTGTGGGTGTCACCTGCATATCTCCTCAGCGTACGATTTATTTCTGCATATTTGTTCGATAATAAGTCCTTGGTTGGTTGATTGGGCTAAGGTTCCTTGTTGGTTACCCTTTCTAGTCGGTCATCTGATCTTTAGTACTGAGTGAAGGTAGGTGTCAATAAAAGTCTACAGTAGCCAGCTGGCAATACTTCTGGTGACGCAGACGTCAAATCTTTAAACTACGTATAAGCACCTACTTGACTGTATTATTGAAACTACGGTTCTTGTTCGTTGTGTTGCAGATTTCCACACTTATTTCAGAGACATGAACTCCCATCATACTTTTTTAAACTTTAGAACTAATAATAACTAATAAACTTTGTCACAAGTTGATGAAGTTAGAATTCAGGTGGTCAGTGAATTCTAGCCCAACTGGATGAGTGGTCAACGGGCTTGGTCTCATAAACTAGAGGTCCTGGGTTCAACTCCTACTGAGGTGGTTGTGGGTATGCACCAGTGAGGAGTCTCAAAATAGAGCGAAACAGCCCTTCTAGGCTTCATGGTTTTCAATGATTCCTCTAATTGATGTTGATTCGTGAAGGTAAATCTAATTGTCGAAACTGATTTGAAATCCCCAGAAATCCTACATTCTGAATTGATGTCAACTAGCGATGGAAGTCATTCTCTAAAATGTTTCATGCCTGATAAAGCTGGCTCATACTGAATTATTTTCTTAATCTAAATAATTATTAGTTACACCTGTTTGTTGTATAAAAGGTTTCCTTTTTTTCTTCTTTGTCAAGATTTGGTACAACAGTTATGAAATGGTCACCGTGTTCTATAAGAGATTTACCAGGTTTGTTGAAATATGGTATGGGTGTTTGCCTACACGATATGCCAGCACGTGGACGTGTGTCAATCAATACTTTTCTTGTGGATTCTAAAACTGCGACAAAAAATAAGAATAATCACAAAGACAGTAATAATAATAATCATTATTATTATCTGAATATGTCTGTTCCAAGTGTTGTACATATTTATGATTGGCAAAGTGAATCAAAGAGAAATCCTGTTAGTCGTGTACTGACGCCAGCAAGACAACGTCATTCTATTTCGTCGTCGTCATTATCACCATCAGCATCGTCTAAGCAATATATGGATGGATTATGTGGAAATGGACAATTAGATCCTGGAGAAGAATGTGATTGTGGTAGTCAGTAAGTGCATTTTGATAACCTATTTCTTATGATAATCTTTCCTAACTGTATTCTGTTATGCAAATGAAGATTGTAAAACCTGAATGTTATCGTCAATAGCAGAGAGCATTCTGACATAGTGTACTTATCTGCTTTATATATATATTACTTTACGTCCCCAATGGAACATAGGACTTCAAGCCGAAGCTCTCAGGCTTCTGCAGCAGTGGCATTTATTCTTACGGGATGTGGATGCTAGCCTCATGCCCAACCTTCCTTCTTTACCAGTCTTGTTGTAACGACAGAAGGCAGGGGCCAGATAGTAGTTCGTTTATTGAGAAAATCAAGCGATATTTGTAGATTTTTATGTGCATTATTATTGGCGTTATTGTTAGCAGAGAAGCAGCATCTTCTGATTGGTTGTTATCTTGTTGAAGGTTATTCTGTACTGCTTGTCACTGTTTCTTAGAAAGTTAAGCCATATATCTGCGAATCGTATTTGCACACGTTAAGTCTGCTGTAATTGGTTGTTGAATTCCTCAAGGTTAAGCTTTGTTATTGCTTTTTTTTTCTCATGACCCCGATTGGGGACGTAAACATTGAGGTAAATTGTTGTCTACAATTCTGTCTTGTTCGCAGACAGCTCTCACAACATTATTACTGGCTTAGCTAGGTAAAGCGGTGTGCATCGGTGGCCGGGGATCGAATCCCGAACCACATGTGTGGTTGGAGAGCATTCAACCTCTGTGCCACTGACGAACGTCGTACTTATCTGAGATAACTAGTTAATGACTGAAGTTAAACAGAAATTCTAGATATAAGCAAGATTTGAGTCGGCGGCATTAAAACTAATGATCTGGATTTGATCTACATACTCAGCTATGAGACACAAATATTTAGGTAATCAAAAGAAGTGATTCAGCGAAGAGACTCTTCAACGAATTTATTATGAAGATGTACAGTCGTACACCAACGTGAATTGTTAGACAATTGGTTATATACTTTATAAAATGGTTCATGAAATGTATAGATCTCAAAGGAGGGTATAAAAATAATAAGATTAATGGACAAGTAAGAGTTGGGAATTATGATAAGACGACAATAAAGGTGATAAGTGAGATAATACCAGAAACTGTTCAAAGTTGAAATTAATAATAACAATCAAAATAGTAAAAGAAGCGTTTATAAACTGAACAAATAAAAAGAAAAGTAATTCGAGTCAAAATATGAAGGGGGGTTACAATACTTTAGCATAGACGGATTAAGACTATAAGAGAAGAAATGGTTGAACAAACTGTTTCTGTATATAGTTTCGGTTTTTCTAATTGCATGGTCAAAGCTTCAGCAATACAGATGAGTCGAATACGTAATGATTTAGGCAGGTTATTTCTCGCCTTGTAGATATAAGATGACCAATACCAGCTAGTTTTTCAATTATTGCGCTTCTTGTAGACCCAATTCCACCTCTTCATAACCGCACAGCATAGTGTTCTTGCATTGTCTTGAAGAAGATAACTGCTTTCATTGCCCTAATCGTCGGTGGCATAGCGGTTGAGGACGCTCGCCGGCCATGTACATGGTCTGGGGTTCGATCCCCGGCCACCGACGCACTATTTTACCTCGCTAAGCCAGAAGTAATCCTGGTAAAGAGGAAAGGTTGGGTATGTGGCTAGCAACCGCATCCTGTAAAATAAACGCTGCTACAGAAACTTCAAGCCACTAGCTTGAAGCCCTATGTTCGTGAAGGGAACGTGATGGAAAAGAAAAAAATTTCTGTAATCCGTCTGTGCTAATCTGTTATTTATTTTTCGTTTTCTTTATGCAGTTTGTATACCTTTCCCTTATTTCGTCAATCGTTATTACTAATTTCACTTAGAACACTTGTCACTTTTATTTGCGCAACACATTTCGAACAATGTGGTCACACATGGACTTGTCATAGGAATATATATGAAATTAATAAAGAGTTAAGAGGTGAGAAAATAGACTTAGGTCATCAGAGGAGCAATAGAGGAGCTAGGTTACCTGTTCTCACTATTACTGATAACATTTTATAGAGACAGGACATAAAACTGATATTTACACATCTTTTAAACCTATCTATAAAACGTGTTTGGGGCGTATCCTAAAGTTTGTGCAAGCCCAAGGTAGCAATTGGGAAGTTTAAACCACCTTTATGCGTTTTAAAACAATTCGTCATCATACTAAACCTTCCCTGGTAAACTTTGTTTTGATACCAGCCAGAGCAGGTGCACTATTACCTCTGTTATTTGGTTTAGTGATCTTCATTGTCATTTTGACCTTCAATATGTCTTTTTAACTTGACCTAAGTCCATTTTCTCACCTCTTAACTCTTTATTAATTTTCAAGTATTGGTTTTGTAGGGATTTTGTTTGATTAATTTCAAATATATATATCTATTCTTATGACAAGTCCATGTGTGATCAAATTGTTCGAAATTAGGTCTTCTTATTGCTTTGTCGAACGGAATTCATAAAAAGAACTAATTGTTTGAAACCTTTATTTGTTTAATTTAATATAACTTTTTGACACTGTTCTCTTATTATAATTCTCACCATGTTACATAATATTTCATTTGTTGAACCACTTATTTTAATTTTTGACATGACCTCCTAATGGGAATTTTCCTTTAACCCAAGTATTTATCAGGTCTTGACTTTACTTTAGTCCCTAATGGAGGGCTTTTGTTCAGGTATCCCATGAATAAGTGCCACTTATTTTTTATTCATTTCCACGGTACTATGTACATTTGTGTGTGTGTCAATCACGAGATTATAGCAAAGCTAACTATCGAATCTTCAGTAGTACCAAGTGATATAGCGAAATGCATCTTCAAGTTGACCATTGCCAGTGCAAACTTGTTCGACAGATTTTAGTTGATGGTTTCTTAGACAGTGTTTTCTAATTAAAATGGTTTTAATGGTACTTTCTATTGTTTCAGTATGAAATGTCGTGTGTTGAAATATCTGATGAAACAGAGATTTCTGTGTGAGCAATTAAGAGGTACAATATGTTGCTAATTCTTGGTTTGTCTTTATTCTTATTATTTTAATTTTATTCCTTTGCATTCCCAGTGGAACATAGAGCTTCGGGCTCGAGCTCTGAAGTTTCAGTCACAGTTTATTTTCTTTTGGGATGCGATGGATAGTTTCTTCCTCCCGCCATCTTTCCTCTTTACGGGGGCTTGCAACAGGCTAAGCGACGTAAAGGAGCGCATTGTCTGGGGATCGAACTCACTGCCCAAGTTTCTGACTCGTTTAGAAGGACTGAATTTTGTTCTTTATTTTGAGTGCAGAAGATTGTCCAACGTATTTCAGAATGATGAAGGTCTACCATACCATTTCCGATTCTGGTTTTGATATCCTCATCTGGGAAGTCGGCTGTAGTTGAATCGATGCCTCCTAGATAAGTGAAGGAAATTAGCTCTTCCAGATTCCTCTGGTTGATAGCAATTAGTGCTTGTTTCTGTTGTTTGGTTTGTTATTTTCTTCACCCATGTCTATTCTATGGTTGACCTGAAGTCTTGTCTTCACCGCCTGTTTTTTTCTGTCAGCTTGTTGGTTTCCGCGTGTAAGTCTTCAAATTTACGTGACACATTGAACATAAATCGTCCGTGAAGTCTAGACTCCTTTAGATTCATCGTATAGGTCCAATATATTCCCGTCTTTTCGCTCCTCACAGTCTGCCGCATAATCCGTACATACGGCGGAATTCAGAAACACTAAATATGACTATCCAAAATGTCCAAGATTGAACTGGGATTTAAATCAACAAATTTATTACGAATATTTTCTTTTAAACAATCCTATATGGCTTATTGAATAAAATGACTACTTTTGCTGTTCTTGAAGTCAAATATTCAGATCAAACTATCTAGATAACCCTAGTCGATTGGACAAATCACACTGAATTGACTTTTCAAATCAAAACGTTACACTAAAGCACCACAGTTCAAGCTGATCTACACACTTCATGAAGCGTACTTTAAGGTAAATAGAAATCAGAAAAACAACGAAATTATGTGTTTTTACGAGTTGATCATGGATTGATATCAGTTAGAGAACCATTGAAAACCAAACTAGGGAGCACTAGACAGCTGCTGTTTCATCCTAGTTTGGGAATCATCGGAAGTACGCACCCACCACAGTGGAGTTCGAACCCAGGACCTTCCGTTACAAGGGAAGCTCGTATACCATTCAGCCACTGGGACCCAATTCAATGGCCAGCCTATGAATTCTAACTTGTACCAATTCGTGATTTAGCGGGACCACCAACCAGTGTCGTTGGTGGGACATCCATCCTCACACGTGTGACATCTGGATGGACCTCACTGGTCACGACTTCTCAATAGAACTCCAGGAAACTCCGTCCTGTAGCGAGCATCAGATTAATTTTCTATAGTTGATATGTAAGGATGAAACAGCTGTCCAGTTCCCCAGTGCTGGTTTTCAATGGTTCTCTAACTGATATCAATCCGTGATTAACTCATAAAAACAAAACTAATCCTAACAAACCAACTATAGGGAAGTATGTGTGCTGGAAGAAGAATAATTACTCAGAGAACAATGAAGATTGAATAGATCTCGGTGATCACAAAGGATGAATCTTAGCATCTCAGGTAGACCCAGTCAACCAGTCTACACTTCTCTCTATCTCTCTCTCTCTATCTGCATGGCTATGTTCCGGTTAGCTAGATTGAAAACATTAGGCCTTAGAGACTATATTTAACTAACTGTACGACGAGGTTCGGTTGTTTTTCTTCTTCTTCAATGAACCCCTTATTAACACATTGCATCTGTTACATTCCAGACTTAAATGTGAAACAATATCTGCACATGTGATAAATTCAGTTTTGTCGCACAATAACAATTTTATTATGGATATATAAATTTACACAGAGGGTAGATTGTAGACTGTAGGTGTATTTTTGTGAATACAACTTATTATTTTTATTATTCTTGTCACCTGTTGACTTCTGTTCCATCTGTAAACCTACTTAA